ATTTATCTTCCTAAAGTTCTGGTTTATATACTTTAGGATGTTTTACTCTTTCCCTCCATTTAATCAACTACAGTGGCTCCCTGTCACCCTTAGGATCAAATATAAAATCTTGTTTGGCTTTTAAAGCCCTTCATAACCTGACCTCTTCTTACCTTTGCAGTGTTTTTATACCTTACTCTCCTCCTCAAACTTTGTGGTCCAATGACCTTGTTGTTTCTTGCACATGGCCTTCTACCTCCTGATTGTTCATTTTCTTTTCTTTTTACATTTTTTCTTTTATTTTTAATTTATGAAATAAAATTAGCATTTTTTAAATAGTATAATAAAAGAGATGATTGCACATGAAAGTGCAAATCTATTATATAAAACTTGCTATTCCTTTTAAATATATAATAATTATTATGTAAATTTCTTTTTTTTCTTCCCTTCCCACCCCACCCTAGAGATGGCTATCATTAGACACAAATAAGTATATACATGTAAAATTATTCTATATATATTTCTATCAGTTTTTTCTTTGGATGCAAATAGTATCTTTCTTTATATGCCCTTTATAGTTAATTTGGGCATTTATGATAGTCAAAATGACTTAATTCCTCAAAGTCATCTTAAAACAATATTGCTGTTATTGGTTCTACTCATTTCACTTTTCATTATTTTCATGTAAGACTTTCCATGTTTTTCTAAGATCACTGAGTTCATCATATATTGTAGCAGAGTAGTATTCCATCACAACCATATACCACAACTTATTCAGCCATTCCCCAATGGATAGGCATTCCTGCAATTTCCAGTTCTTTGCCACCACAAGGAGAGCTGCTATAAACATTTTAGAACTCTTTTCCTTTAGAGCTCTTTTCCTTTTTCCCTAATCATCTTTAGAAATAGACCTAGTAGTGGTATTCCTGAGTTAAAGGGTATAGGTAGTTTAATAACTCTTTGGGCATGATCAAAGGATATTAACAGACAATTTTCCAATGATCAAAGCAATTTATAGTCATATAAAAATGCTCTAAATCATGATTGTGCATTTTCACTAGCTCTCCCCCATGTCTGAAATTCTTTCCCTTATCATCTCCATCTCCTGGCTTCCTTCAAGTCAAAGCTAAAAATCCCTCCATGTGTAAGCAGCATTCTTGGGCCTCCTTAATATTAGTGCTTTCCCTCTGAGATATCTCCAATTTATCCTATCTGTATCTCATTTGTACAAAGCTGTTTGCATGTTGTCTCCCCTCCCTTTCCTTCCTCCCCCCAGTAGCTTGTGAGCTGCTTGAGGGCAAGGACTGTTTTTGCCTTCCTTTGTGCACTTAGCACAATGCCTGATGCATAGTAGGCCCTTAATAAATACTTGTTGGCTTGAATACACACACACACACACACACACACACACACACACACACACACACACATACACACACAGACACACACACACCTTATGCATACATCTATATCTATCTTAGACAAGCATTGAACATAGACAATGGATTGTACTCCAAATCAAATAGAGATGAAAGAGCAAGCTAGATTATATTTGAGAAAATGGGCAATGTTTTCAGGAATTCCAAGGTTCTCCTTGCTTTCAAAGACTATCTTTTAAACATTAATATCATCTCAGTAATGCCTATAAATGTCTATAAATGAATGTGATTTCTGAAAAGTCAAAATTGTAGGTGAGCAAAAAGAATATTAAAAGATGCATAGCAGTTGTAGATAGCCCATAGCACACAATATTACCAGTGATGGCCTGAAGATTATTTGTGTATAATTCAGGAGTAAACTGAAAAGGAGGTGGGTTAGCTACAGCAATATAGAGGGATTTGGGTAGCCCATGAATTCTCCTGGTATCTATGGAATAATAAACCACCCAGTTAAAGGCTGGCAAAGAATTGAGAATTTGTAGAAGATCATGGAAAAAAATAATGTGGAATTAGAAGGCGTGGAAAGGTAATAATTTGCACCAATGAAGCAAATAACCAAACCTCTGATAGTACAGATCCATTTAAGTATTGCAATATTCCGCTCAGTGGCTCCACCTGCTGGTAAATGTTTCACTTTCCAGCTCAGATCTGAATTGACCAAGAGGCTTTGTACAATTTGATGCCCTTAGTCCAATCATTATGTACAGATGCAGAATTAAAAGCAGGCTCCCCTTTTCTCCCCCATGGACTTGTTCAGATTGTTTCTTCTGAAGATCATAGGAACATAGATTTAGAGTTGGAAGGGCCTCAGAAGCCATACAGTCCAATTGCCTCATTTTACAGATGAGGAACTGTAAGTTCCAAGAAGTAAATGGCTAATTCAAGAATTAAACCAAGGTCCTCTGGCTCTGACTGCAATGCTCTTTCCACCCTGCAGCTTCCTGAACCTAGATCTACATAGGGAAGCCCTCTGGATTGCATGGAATTGAAAGAATTTTATTCTATTATTAAAAGGGTTATGAAACTTAGGAGGGAGTGGCAGCGTGATCCCAGGATTTGTTGTTTGTAACTCACATATTCATTTACCAAAGCAGTACTATTTAAGATTTCTGTTTTTGCCTCATCCTCAGAAATTTCTATGATTCTTAAAGTGATTTTGAAAAGCCTAAGAGTTTTTATCTTGATGGAAACAAATCAAATACTGCACAGAATTCCATTTTCAAGGGTCAGTGGTGCCATTAAGATGTACCTAGATTCAAGAACTTGAATCACACTAATTATAGGCTAGGAGGCTGGGGGGCAGGGTGAGTTATGGCTCTATATCTAACATTTTAAAGTAGTGTTGGTCTTGCACTTTGTACTTCTTTTAGGTAGGAGAAGGAGGGAAAAAAATCTTCAAGGTGACTTTAAAGTTTTACTGGAATAAAATTTCAAAGACATCAATACAAAATAAAAAAGCTTTGCATTATTGTTATTATTATTGTCATGACATTGAAATAGTATTAGCAAGTTAAAGATTTGGTAGTTTTAGTTTAATTAGAATCTTACTCTTTAAACATCTCCATTTTTTTTCCCTTGAAATAATGTACACTACTTTGTGTATTAATTATACTGTGAAGCAAAGTGAAACATTTTTTGCCATCATGGAAGGGAGGGAGATTTTTTCAAGAGGAAAAAAATGAATATCATCACTAATGCAGGAAACCAGGAAGAAAAATTATGGCTAATCACTATGAATGTGATTCTTGGCAGTGACTGGCTAAAAATTAACCAACATATTCCTTTTGTGTTTTCATAGGTAGTGAGCTTCTAGTATTGAGAGTGCTCATTGCCATTGCTGAAAGGAAAAATGCTCACTTCTTTCCAAGTGGTAGGTGCAAATTGTGGCTTAAGCAGGTGAACCTGTTTTAGAGAAACAAACTTGGTGTAGTCACGGAGTTCTCCAGCTAAGGCATAAGTAGCTTTTCTCGTCCTTCGCAGTGCCTGCATAACTCTAGCTAGACTCAGGAATAGGTGCATTTGCAAGCCTCAGATGTTCAAAAGGGAGTTTTGTTTTTGTTTTTTTGATGGGGAACCCAACCTGTGAAATCACTGACTTGCAGGGGAAACTAACTACTCTGCAATTTGTAGTATTAGATCAGGAGTTCTTAACCTGGGGTCTGTAATTTTTAAAAATAATAATAATTATTTTAATAGAATTAGTTTCTTTTGTAAGTCTACATATTTTATGTATTAAAAGCATTATTTTAAGGAGGACTTCGTAGGATTCACTAGACTGCTAAAGGGGGTCCTTGTCTTGGAGAGATGTCTAGGGGAATGAGGAGGCCCAGGGTCAGATAGTATCTGTCAAAGGCAGAACCCAACCCTCAGTCATGCTGTCTCTGATGCTCACTAGAATGGTCCAGGAGAAAGAACATAAATCTTAAGTCAGAAGACCTATTCTTCTGCTTCCAATATTGCTTCTGTTGCTTACTACCTGTATGACCTTGGGTATGTCCCTGAAGCTCCCAGAATTCAATTTCTTCATTTGTAAAATGAGGGGTTTGGTTAAATGGCCTCTGAGGGCCCTCAGGCTCTAGGTTGATGATTCTATAATCCCACACTGCCTCACAAAAGGCTATGCAATCTAGAACTTTTTCAGTAATCACATCTGACTTTGCTGGCAGTGAAGATTTAAGTTTCCTAAACACTGATAGACATACAGATTCTAACATTCTCCGTTGCTTGAACAAGACTGCTCACTTCTTAACTTCTCCATCAGGACTTCCATCAGTCCGTCAGTCCCTTGCTTCTAAGATTACCTTCCATTCACACTGCAGATATATGTACATAGTTATTAGTGTGTTGTTTACCTTATTAGAATGTGAGCTCTTTGGGGAAAGGGTTATTATTCTAAACTTTCTTTGTATCCCCAGCACATAGCACAGTTCCTGTTACTGACTGACTGCCTGAAAGACAAAAATGAAAGATAGCTCCTGCTCTCATATATCTTATATTCTACTGGAGGAGCCATTTTTATGGAATATGTATAGAATATGAAAATTCTAGGTGCTATTTGTCAAATAGATATTACTGACATGGAGTATTTCTGTTATGTGGCATTGACAACAAACTTTTCCAAGTAGATTTTTCTTTTTAGAAAGAGGTAGCCAGTGAGCATAGCACTTGGAATTGAGACAATATGAGTTCCAATCCAAACTCAAATATTTACTAGCAATGTGACCTTGAGCAAGTCACAACCCCTATCTACCTCGATTTCCTCATCTGGAATAATAATAGTATTTACCCCCTAGGGTTGTTGTGAGGATAAAATGATACAACATTTGAAAAGTATTTTGTAAACCTTATAGAAGGGCTGTTTTTCCTTTTGTATAGATGGGACTGGACAATTACTGTTCTTCCTTCCAATAAATGGAAAGACAAATCAGTTTTAAAATATGAGGTCAGGCCAACATTTTTAATCTCCAAACAGCTTATTTAAAAACAAATATAAATGGATTTACTTAATCATGCAACATAGAAAAGTTGATTAGAAAACCTGTATAGCTTCATGGAGAAGGCAAAGTATACATAGACAAGTGATACATTTAGGATATTGTATTTTACTATCTTAAAGCATACACTTTTTAGTTGTGATTTCTTTTAAAAAAGATTAACAGCAACAACAGAAAAACCTCTGCAATAATACTTCTGTCCTTCATTGTTCAAGTAAAATCATGTGTCATCCAGCTGCAAAATCATCCTAGTGGCAATCAGGTATACAGAGACTTCAAATATAAATTTAAATCCATTCATTCCAGACAAATTTTGAGAAGAAAAACTTTAATTCTACTAATTCCATATTGTACTTGTAGGTAAATTCATCATTTTCTAGTGCTACTCATTTACCACATTTCCACTATATAACAGAATGAATAGACATACACACAAATGCACAAATACACCCAGACCATCAGGACGGACAACATTTGGAAAAGTATTATAAATGACTTGCCTGAAGTCAAAGTTTTATTCAACAAAAATGGACTTTAACACTATAAAAAAAATGCAGTGACTAATGTAAAAGAAGGATTTACCTCCTTAAACACATTATGAGTTGCACTTCATTTGCCTTTTATAAACAGACCCCCTTGCCTCTTACTAACAATCACTTTCGATTTTAATCTCAGTCTGGTTTGTGATTAAAAACTCAACAAACTGACTTTATGCACTGTTAAGGAAGGCTACAAGTGAAAGGCAGGATCCAGAATAAAATAGAAGCATGTAAGGAAAAGAAAAAAAATTGCTTTGGATGGCCTGAATGGGGGGCAGCCGTAAACAGTGGATATATAGTCCTGGGTTTGGAGTCAGGAGACCTAGAATGAGTTTCTGACTCTGCTGCTCCCTAGGCATGTGACCCTAAGTAAAGTGACAACCTCTCAGCCTCAGTCTTCATCCATAAAATGGGGACGATAATACTTTTACTAATGACTTCATGGGATTACTGTAAGGAAAGCTCCCTGTAAACTGTAAAGTGCTATGTGAGTGGTTGTTGTTACCAGTGATCTCTGCACAGGGATTGTTGGAAAATGTCTTCAGATAAAAAACAATTGATTCCATTGAATACTCTCTTCATTTAAGATATGGGGCAGGAACTGATTCTAATGGGTTCCAGAAATAGTTTTGGCATTCATAGAAATGTAACTAATTGGGGTTAGTATAGCCTTTAGCTATGGCCCATTTGACCCCCAAAAGACCCAGTGCAGTTGAAGCCTGGGTCTGTGGCTAAAGGTAACCTTCTGAAACCGGCTTGTAACACATCCTATAGCATTTTAATATTATTAAAAAGTTTGAAGTTCTTTTTGTCTAGTACAAAGAATCAAAATATAGGTCATCACTTGGAATTGCTGTGAAGTAGAAGGCATATCAATATCAAGTCTTTGGCTTTGGTGCAATACTCAGCTACAGAGGATTTAGATATCCATTTAAATTCTTTTTGTTTCCCACCCTCTTGTCCCTTTCTGTAGTATTAATTTATGAAATACACGATAGGAAAGTACTTAAAAAAAGAGCCAGTTGGTTACTAATATGTCAAATGCTACAAATTAAAAATGTATGTAATCATATTTTTTGGTTCACATATTAAAATAATCTCATATTTCTGAGTACAAACACTTGTAAATGGCTTGGTTTTTCACTAAGACAACTCATATAAAAAGTTTTTAAGAAAATTGTCTTATAAATGCTGCTGGTGCTGCAGTCATTCCCAAAACAAAATGTTTTCCTTCTTGCAGAAACTTCAGTCCTTTTGCCATTGTTAATGATCAAACTATGAATTGGCATCACATTGTCTTCTTAAGTGAAAAAAAAATAAAACCAAAAAACAAAGAACAAACTCTTGTTAATATATAAGGGAATTCCAAACGTGTATTTGTAAAGTGATGTGTGTGAATGTTATCCTTCTTGCTTGGAGTTTTTCCAAATGGGATTGAATATGGCTTATTTCTGGTATAAGGTTATTGCAATCTGCCCTCTTGCGAACTGCTGCAGCCATTCATTACAACATGAAATGGGTATAACCTTCTGCTCCAGTAACAATAACATCCATCCAGATCCTCATGGCTTCTGGGGATGGAGCCACCATATAATAGATCCTATCATGTGTCTTGACACTAAAGGTGAGTAATGGATTAGGACTCTAAAAGGAGAAAAGAAAAAGAATATTAAGCAAATAACTTTAATGAAGGTCATCACATAGGAGTTAGTATAATACTTAGACATAAATTTCAGGGCTTCTTTTTCCCTTCAGTGTTCTCGTTCATGAAACATATCAGTTTATACCTTTTCTTTTACATATTTCTTTCCCCTTTTGGAGTAGTGAATATTTTTATAATTTTTGCTTTAGTTTTCACACAGGGCTTCCCCTGTCCTCTTTCCTGGTGTTCCATGAAACCTAGGGAGGCATTTCTCACACTCTTGGAGTATACTAAGACTCTGCACAGGGACGATGCACATGGGCTGCATGGTGGTGATAGCTTTTACTCTTAATTCTTTATTTCCTTTTATACTATTGGCATTTGATAAACCTTGCAATGAGGAGCTAGCTTGGCAGGGCCCTTAAAACAACAAAGCTAAAGTTATTATCTTCTTTTCCCTAAAACTGGACCCACAAATAAAGGTGAATTCTTTTGGTCAATATTTCTTATGCCATTCTCTCCCCCTTAGTATTCTGCCACCAGTTCAAGGAAGGTCAAAAAACAAAACAAAACAAAACAAATCCTTTCTCTAATTCTATCATATATTTAAAAATTGGAAAGTTAAAGCACTAGTAAATCTGTAAATGTAATTTACCTTATATGCATTCTTGAGGTGATCATAATAGACTTCTTCAATGGCTTGAAAATATATCACTCCTTTTAATTTAGCTTCATGTTTATCTGCAATGAGAGGGACAGATATTTTGTAAACAGAATCAGATAGTACAGAGTATCAAATGATTTAGAAAAGGGGTTCTTAACCTAGAGTTCATTGATACCTAAGAGGCCAGTGCATACATTTCAGGGGGTTCATGAACTTGGATGGGAAAAAATATTTATTTTCTACAACTTCTAACTGAAATTTAGTATTTCCTTCAGTTATGAATTTTTAAAAAGAAGTAATCCTAATAAAGGGTTCATAGGCTTTACCACACTTCCAAAGCATTCTATGATATCAAAAAAGTTAAGAAAACCAATTTAGAATCATAGAATTCTAGGCCTGGAATAGAATAAGGCTGGAAGAGAACTTAGAAATTATTGTCTGCTCCACCGCCCCTCTTACAGATGAGGAAACTGAAGTCCAACATCATTGCATAGGGCATAAAAAAAAATAAAGAACAATTTTTACCTTGATTATAATTACAAAAAAGGCTCACTTCATACAAAAATATCATCCATAGCACTTTAGCTTCTATTTTTAGTCCTAAAAGACATTACTAAGATAGAAGCCATTAACTCAGAACCAAAGAAGCTTTCAATATTCCCTAGTAAATTTGTATCCAAGATATAGCCCAGGTAAATTGACTCTTTGTTAATACATCAAGCATGCACTCTGTTGTGCCACTATATGTTATATCTCTCAGATGCACTCAAAAGCTGCCTCTCTAATGTCAGAGTAAGATATTTATTTCAATCTAGTAATTTCATATCTTTCTTAAAATCTTTTGTTAAGGGGGATTCTGGTTTTGAACTTATAATTAAAAGCCATGATTATTCGAGCTTATAATTAAAAACCAGAATATTATTTTGTATACTAGACAATAAGTATTAGAAAATAAACTATTAAATTCATTCTTACTCAGGTTATTTACTATTAGCTAATTTAAATCATTATGTTTATTATTTCCTAATAAATATATGTCTTGTCCCTTTTCCACATTAGAATATGGTATCCTAAACCCACCATCCTTTACAGCATACCGTGTCCAGTGTGTTTCAAATACTGCCACTAGAGGTCAGGCAAAGTGAATTATTAAACAGGGTCTTTAAAAGGGAAGGATAATGCAAAGATCTCTAAAATAGACAAAGCTCTCACCCTCCCTAATCACAGTGTCCAAAAGAAACCTGCTATGACACACTTTCTTCTTTTTAATAATCTGGGTCAAATTCTATCTCCTAAACTGTAACTATATTCAGCAAAATTCAAAATACCATTAGCCTATAATAACTATGTATTCAGCCTCTTCCTAATATATAACAAGATATTATAGGGCTGCTGGGTGGTATAGTGGATAAAGTGCTGGACCTGGAGTCAGGAAGACCTGAATTCAAATCTGGTCTCAGACAATTATTAGCTGTGTGACCTTGAGCAAGTCATAACCTTTGTTTGCCTCAGTTTCCTCAACTGTAAAATATAATATATTGCTATAATAATAGCACCTATCAGGGTTGTTATGAGGATCAAATGAGATAATATTTGTAAAGCACTTTAGCACAGTTCCTGGCACATTATAAGTATTATATGAAGGCAAGTTACTTATTATTACTATTAGGTGGTGCAATGGATAGAGTGCTGAGCCTGGAGTCAGGAAGACTCCTCTTTATGAGTTCAAATTCAGCCTCAGACACTTACTAGCTGTGTGACCCTGGGCAAGTCACTTCTGTTTACTTCAGTTTCCTCATCTGTAAAATGAGCTGGAGAAGAAAATGGCAAACCTCTCCAGTGTCTTTGTCAAGTAAACCCCAAATGGGGTCACAAAGAGTTGGACACAACTGAATCAACTTAGCAACAACAAAAACACATCATTTGGAGGAGGCAGAGGACTGAGAAGTAAGAAAGTTTCTTGAGTTAAAAAGTTTGAGCTATTTTAGAAGCAGCTAAGTAAACTAGTTAAAATGCTAACTAACCTTGTTTGGGGCTCGTGATAAAGGGAGGGATGAGGTACATAAATTGGAAAGGGGTGGCGATCTAGTATACTCGGTGAGGATCTCTGGCTACAGAGAGATGTGAGCTGCTTGATCATGCTTTTATCAGGGCACTGATGGATTGCTGATATTCTGAGAAGTCTTGGAATTTATGCATTCAGATGTACCCTCCTTTATGGCAACTAAGAACTGAGGGAGCACAACTTTTAAAGATTAAGGGGGTCAGGACAAAGGCTTAAGCCTAGTTTGAATTTCACCCTGGCTGACTGGCTGGCTGCCTAATTGCTCTCCAATAAAAGTACTGCAGCCTGACTTTGAAGATGATTCCATACTCCTGAAGTTGAATGTAAGAGAGACAACGCTAGTGTCAGTAGTAGTCCAACTGCAGAAAACCATTTTGAGAATAGAAAAAGAGATGAAAGGTTCAGCAACTTAGAATCACATAGCTTAATGAGACCAGGGGTGTGGGGGCGTGAGAAGGGAATGGCGGAGGGAAGGAAGAGAAACTTAAGGTAAAAACCCAGGTAATTAGATTAACTGAGTGACTGATGAATGGGAAGAAGTAGCAAAGTACAGATGAGGACAAGTTAGAAGACTCTTACATGACAGAATGTTTAAAAATGTTATTTTTGGAAAACTGGGGGAGGCAAGTAGGAGACTAGCACATTTTATTATGTCTGCTTTTATGCATATTCAGGCATTGAATTATCTTTTTTTAAAAAAAGAGTACATTTCCATTATACTAACTAAAAAAGGTTGTTCATGATACTGTCTTTTAAATAGATATAAAATTAATCTAAAACAAGGCAGCACTTTTAAGGAAAACTTGAGATTGATTTATTGTACAGTAGGAAAAGGCCCTGCATTTGGAGGATCTGGTTTCAAATTCTCTCTTTGTCACTGGCTACCTATGGGCCTTTGAGGAAGCCTCATCACCTCTCTGATCCTCAGTGCTCATATCTGTAAAATGAAGGAATTAGATTAAATTTTTTCTCAGGTCTCTTTTAGCTATAAAGCTATGATTCTATGGATTGGGAGTTTGGATCAGATCACATATTATTGTGATTCTCTAATCCATCAAACACACAGACACAGACACAGAGACACACACACACACACACACACACACACACACACACACACACACACACTTCTTGACAGACTTTTGGTTCCTGACTAAATACTATGCTATATCCCCTTTTTAAAATTTTAGTAACTATCCAATCCAATCCAACACTTCAAGGTACTTTGCTAGGCACTAGGGATACAAAAACAGAAAAAGACAAAAAAAAAAATGCAGGCCTTCAAGAAGCTTATATTCTATTTTAGCGGGATACAACATGCAAAGAGAGAAGTATATACTTGATTTTGGGGAGGATGGAGAAAACACTAACCATTAGGGGAACTAGTCTTCCTCCATTCATCTATATTTCTTTACTTCTATAATATTTCCAGGATTCTACTCTTATTCTGTGCTTTCCCTTCCACTCAGAATACACTTCTAATCTTTATTATTTATCGCCTCCTTCAATTTTTCTTTCTGATTATTGTCTCTATTTTTCCTACCTTCCAGTGGTTGTCTACAATTAGGGAAAGAATGAGTTCTAAGGAGAATGTGTATCCTACTTTGACAAAATGCTATCATAGACCATGTTAATGATAGCTGATTTTTTTTGTTTTCAATTTGTATGTGTATATGTATATATACATACATATATATGTACATGTATGTATATATATACATATATGCGATACATATTTGTCAACAAATATAAATTATTACATTTATTATGGCATCTAAAATCAAGGGAAAATTAAAAAAAAGTTCTTTTTAACCACAGTATCTCCTATGGATAATATAGCACATGCCTCTTCAATTCAATCTTAAACTATTGTTCTACATTTATACCAGGTGTAAACTTTCATGGATTCAAGATCATAGCTAGAGGCTGCAATGATGTCACATGATGGCTGCATTTCCTTAAAGCTACTTAAGATACCACACATTCTTTAAGATGAGGCTCAGTGACTTGCTCAGTTAAATTGCCCAAGCACATGCTAATAACTGATTAAGCCAGGATTCAAACACAGGTCTTTTCTTACCCAACAGCCAATAATCCTTTTGTTATACTATCTCCACTGTCTCTCAGAGTCAGGTTAGAAATGGGTTTGAATCTTGGTGCTCTCATCTATTAGTTGTGAGATTCTCGGAGCGTCATATAGCCTCTCTGAGCCTCACTTTCGCCCTTCATAAATATAGGGATAATAATACTTATACAACCATCTTCACTGGGATGATTTAAGGAAGGTCCTTTTAAAGGTATTTGTTGCCAGCCTACCTGTCCCACCCTATTACACATGAAGCCACTCCATGAATGTTCCTTCATGTGACCCCATGTGAGTTACTTAACCATGATTGCCTCAGCTTCCTCATCCATAAAATGAAGGTAATAATAGTACCTGCCTCCCAGGGCTGATGTAAGGATCAAATAAATTAATATATATATATATATATAATATAATACATAATATAATAATATAAAGAATATATATAATAAAACCTATTATTGTTGTTGCTCTACCTCTTAGAATCCTTTTTTTCCTTTAAGGCTCAACTCAGATGGCACCTTCTACACGAAGCCTTTCTGATCTCTCTGCCCCACCTCACTCCCCACCCCTTTGCTAGATTTTTTCCAATAAATCACCTTGCATCTATTTTATATCTATTCCATACATACCTAAATATCTACATGTGTTCCCTGGATGGGTAATAAGCTCCTCAAGGGTTAAGAGAAGTTTCACTTTTGTGTATCCTGAGCACGAGTACAGTGTCCAGCACACAGTAGGCATTTAATAAATGCTTGTTGATTGGCTTATTTCTTTTTATGTAAACTTAAGTAGTTATTATTATCATTATTTTTATTATTGCTTTTTTATTGTTCAGTCATTTTCAGTTGTGGCCAACTCTTCATGACTCTATTTGGGGCTTTCTTGGCAAAAATATGGGAATGGTTTGCCATTTCCTTCTCTAGCTTATTTTATAGATTAGGAAACTGAGGCAAAGAGGGTTAAGTGACTTGCCCAGGGTCCCATAGCTACTAAATGTCTGAGACCAGATTTGAACTCAGGAAGATGAGTCATCCTTACTCCAGGCCCAGCGCTTTATCCACTACACCAACCAACTGCCCCATTCTTATTGCTACTAACAACAATTCATAAAAATTTGAGTTACTTAGTAACTCAAAGCTCACAAAATTTAGAGCTAGAAGAAAAGTTATCCAGTTCCAAAATCTAAAAGTTATCTATTCCAACCCTTTAATTTTCCAAATGAGAAAACTGAGGCCCAGAGAAGGTGACTTCTTGTTCAAGGTCATACAGTAGCAAAGCCAGAATCTGAACCCAGGTCCTCTGACTCCAAATCCAGGGCTTTTTCCATAGTCTGCTGAATACATTGTTCACTTGTTTCTGGATATACTTCACAGCCAATGCTCAAAATGGTTATTTGATAAATTTTAAAATAAATTCAAGGCAGTTCATTTATTTTAGACTTCATAAACAAGTTGCATGACTGTCAACTAAGTTTGTCTAATTTTGTATGACTTAAGTAGGGCAGATGACAAACATAAAAAATATTTTCCATTCCGATGGCTTTAAAAGGTCATTTTCTAATGTAGGAGTACAAATTCCACTCGACGCTGACCATTGTGTATTATATCACAGGGAAAGGAGCTCTTCCTATCTATGCTTTAAAAATTTTATTATTTTAAATTGCCACTAGAAGGGAATCTTCATTGCTTACATAATCCACCAAATAATACTGACATATGTGGGAAAGAATTTCTCATGAATAAGCTATGTGTCCTTATGTGGCAGGGAAGGGTAAAGAAAAAAGTTGAAGGAAAATTGTCATCACTCACTTCTTCTCTGACACCAAATTCTGCATGCTGACTGGTTATCTACCACCATATATGTTAAATCATAGTTCAAGGACTAAGTGGACATTTTAAGGTAGAGCCTTTGATGATTAAATTACCAGATGGGGAAAAGAGATGCTTTCTCCTCTGCAAGTCATTTTAAAGGAAAGCTCCTACAAATCACAGAAAAGATGTCAGAAGGATGCAGAAAGGGACGAAGTAGAAGCTTACATAAGGAAGTATATAGGTGGTAAGCACCTTCCTTGATTAAGAGAGGAGAAAGAGTGTGTCACAAAATATCAGCTGTAATAATAGCTAGCATAATAATAAGCTATATTATAATAAGCATTTAAATATAATTTTAAAGTTTGCAAAGCACTTTACAAATATTATTACATTTTATCCTTATACCAACCCTAGGAGGTATGTCCTATTATTGTTCCTATTTTACAGTTGAGGAAACCAAAGCAGGCAGAGGTTGAATGATTTGCTCAGGGTCACACAGTAAAGTGTCCAAGGCTACATTTGAAGTTAGGTCTTCTTAACTCCAGGCCCAATGCTCTATCCACCATGCCACCTAAGAAATTCTATACTCAAAGTGTGATTAAACCCAGAAGACATTATACTTAGTGACTCTGTATCTCCCGAGAGAGCTTAAAAGTTGGTTAGGTAATCTGTCTGAGGAAAGAGGTGTTCACTTACCTAAAAGTTTAGCCAGTGCACATTGTGGCTCAATTTAAGAAATAACTTCCTAATAGTTATAGCTTTCTCAAAAAAAAGAAAGAAAAGAAAAGAAAAAGGGTAAAAGGTGTCCTTGGAAAAATGTAAGTTCCCTATCACAGGCCGTATTCAAGTGGAAACTAGATAACTACCTGTCAAAGGTACTATAAAGTGGTTGGATTAGATGATTCCTAAGGTCTGTTCCAATTTTGAGACTATGATTCATATTATCTTGTAAAACAAGACAACATTCAAAAGGTAATAAAGTCCCCAAGGATGTTTTGCACATGAAAGAAACTGACCAGAACCGTGGAAATTTAAATGTTGAGAAGAACCTTAGAGAACATCTGGTACAGTCTACCAACAACAACATAGTATAACAAAATATCCTTCCAGTAGCTCCCATAAATCGGCATTCAGCTGATTTTTGAACATTTACATTAAGGTGAACTCACAGCTTCCATTTTTAATAAGCTTTGTTAGAAATATCTTCCTTATGCTAAACCAAAATATGTATCCCTATAACTAACACCTTTCAATGCTTACTCTCTCTAGATATGGGATTCTTAAACCTGTTTTTTTTTTAGTTCTTGGGAATTATATTTCCTCATAATTGATTTCTTTGGTAATCATTTGCATTTAAAAACCTTATTCTGAGAATAGGTCCATAGGTTTCACCAGCCTATGTCAGTCAGAGGGATCCAGGACACAAAAAAAATGCTTATCTAGAGATATATAAAATAAGTAAACCATCTTTTCTGTATAATAGCCCTTTAAAAATCTGAGTAACTATCATGTTCCTAACTCAAATCTTTTCTATTTCAGTCTAAATCCTCCCAATTTCTTCAATTGTTCCAAATGTCAGACTCCCCCACCATTCTAAATGCCCTCTGTAGAGTCAACTCAGTTTTAAAATGTCTATTCTTAAAAATGTAGTGTCTCAAACTAAACACAATATTCTATATATAGTTACATCTATTCAGAATAATATGGGATTGCTCCCTTTCTTGTTTTGGACATAATTTCACTAATTTCTTTTCAGTAGCTGCATTACACTTCTGGGTACCAGACAGAAGTCAGGAGACAACAGATCCTTGTCCTAGCCCTGCCATTAAATTACTGCATGACTTTAGACAAGTCACTTAATCTCATTCACTGCCTCAAGTTGTCTTGACTTTTGTCGTGCCACTGGACTTCAATGACTCTAGAAGAAAGAATCAGGCTAACGACTTTGTACTCTGCTTCACTTAAATACAATTCATATGCAAGTCAAGACATCACCGTCATCCCCTATTTGACCTCAACATCGTGACGTCATTCATTGGTCATCTTCTAAAATGAAGGACAAACAACAAAAACAACAATCTATACAACAGCATTGGATTAAATAACTTAAGGGATCCTTTCAGCTATAAGATTCTATAACGTGTAGAACTGGCAAACTAATCTTTTTATGATATAAGAAAAAAATAGGTAGAAGGATTACATACTAGCAATTTAATATAAAACTTCAGGATTAAGAGCAGAAGGCTAAGTGTTGACTGTAACAACAATGCTACCTCATTTTCTTTCTTTCCTTTCTTTCTTTCTTTTTTTTTTTTAACAGCTTTTACAATCAATGGGTTGAAATACTGTATCACACACCTGCATAATAGGAGAATGTTCTTTTGTTTCGGTCAAAAACGAACCACCGTTTTTTCCAGGTTTTAATTTTTCCACCCATCTTGATGAGAAAGCCTCGACAGGTCTTCTCTGTGATGGACACGTGGTAACAGGTTTCTATATTGTGGCCAGCAGTCTCTACATGGCTCCGTAGATCAAAGTCTTCCTTCCTAACAGGCAGATAGCGAGTCAAGGGTCGAGCCTACGACAGAGCAAAACCCATTTAATCTACCATAGTAATTATTTGCATGGCTTCAGGCTATACATACCTCAAAGTTGACCTCCTTCCTGAAACCAAGTGAAAAGCCAAGCATAAAAATTGCCATATGTTAGAATTTTGAGAAAAAAGAAATGACCTGATATGGAGACATAAAAGAATTAACCATTCAAACACAAAATACTTGAGAATATTGATAAAATATTTTAGTAGGATGATGCTAGCATAATATAGGGAGAAGGAATGAAGAAACAGTCAAATAACAAACATTTAATAAGTACCTGCTATGGGCCAGGCACTGTGCAAAGTGATGCTGGGGATATAAATAAAAGAGCAAGGCAATGCCTGCCCAAATGGAGCTTATGTTCTTTTGGAATGGGAAGAGGAATATAACATAGGTTCATAGATAATAAAAAAAAGCATACACACAAAAAATAAACACAAATTTTTCTACTAGCTACTGGGCCACTCAAGAAGGACCTCTTGAATGAGCTGAGCCTTTAAGGGAGCCAGAGGAGTGGGGACAGCATTCCAGGCTGTATGTGTATGAAGACATAGAGATAGGAGATGGACTGCTGTGTATGAATAGCAAATAGGCTAGATTTACTGGAATGCAGAGTGAACAAGGAGGAATAATGTGTAGTCAGTCTGAAAATATAGAATTAGAGGCAGATTGTGAAAATCTTTACATGACAAATGGAGGAATTATTTGTTATAATTATTATATGTTATATAACATTATTATATTATTTTATATTATCATAATTATATGTTTATCATAATTATAATTATTGTAGAGGCAATAGGGAGCCACTAAAACTCCCAGAGCAGGAGAATATCAATTTGGCATCTGTGTGAAGAATGTGAAGGATGGATGGGGTGGGGGAAAGAACGGGTGCATGGAGACCATTTAGGAGGTTGTTTCAGTAGTATAGATAGAAGTGCTGAGGACCTGAACCAAGGTGGTTGTGGTTATAAGTGATAATATAAGAAGGAGATAAATGTGAGAAACAGGGGTAGAATCAGGTAAAATCAAGAAGACAGTTCTTCTATAACTTGAAATTAGAAAACTGTCATTTAGAAAGGGTTTTATAGGGTAGAAATAATATAGGAGGATGAATTAGAATGTCCATGTAAGATGCCTCTACAGATGCAAATTATTACCTTTGGTAACATGTCCTGTACCTTATTCTTGTTACTCTAAAAAGAGACATATGTGATCAACCTTAATCTACTTTGCAAACATTGCTCAGTCAGTCAATGAACAAGCATTTATTAAACACTGCTATTCACTGGGCACTGTGCTAAGTACCAGGGAAACAAAAACAAAACTAGCAAAAAACAGTCCCTGCTCTCAAGGAACTCACACTCTGCAGAACACCCCAAAACGAACACCTCAATTTACTAGCCAACAAGACAGAACTCAAAGGCAGGGATTTAGTTATCCAAGGAAAAGTTTAAAAAAAAATAGTGAGTGAAATTCAAACTTGAGCTTAATAAGCAGCCAGTAGGATTTTCAATCAGAAGTCAAACAAGTCACTTCTCCTTGGGAATGAGTTTCCTCATCTGTAGAATAAGGGGTTAGAACAAGTTATCTCAAAAGTACCTTGCAGCCCTAAATCCTATGGTATTACAGGAGTGATACATTAAAAATGCTACACATAGAATTCCTGATCCTTATTATGTATCTATTTTGCATGTAACTGTACAATAAATCAACCAATAAGACTTTATTAAGCCCCTACTATTTCCCAGGCATTGAGCCAGGTGCTGGGGATACAAATACAAAGAAACAATTTCTACTCTCAAGGAATTTACATTCTAAATATTTATGTTAATATTATCTTTCTTAGATATATTGTAAAGTCCTTGGAAAGCATAGACATGCTTTTTTCTTCTTTTTATCCCTAGGGCCTAGTATAGTACCTGGCTCATGGTAGATACTTAATAAATATTTGCTGAATGATTGTTTTATTACTAATGACCTGAGATGCAAATAGAAGAGTCTGGCTGGTCTTTACAAGGCATACGTCACTGTGGTTACAAACATAAAAAGCATCTGTAGACAAAAATAAAATAAAATAAAATAAACTACCCGTAAGCACTTTGGCACAGCAGAAACTCTTTTTCCCTTATGCAAATTCAAAGGAAAACTGAAATGATTATTGAGCTCTTGGGCGGGTGGAATAGAATGACCTAATCAAGACACAAAACATATAATCAGGTTTAAGGATAAGCTCTGCATCTTGGCCTGCCAAGATGGTGTGGCTTAGCTTTATTGCTCATCAGAACTTGGTAGAGAGTTGGCAAGCAGAAGGAAACCAAACGAGTGCCAATTTCTAGCTCTCCTTCTTAGAGCTACCCTTTAGCTTTGCAGAACTTGTGCACCAGATAATGGTACTGGCTTTGGCGACGGTGGAACACCACAAACCTTTCTAAGGGATCCTTATGATGATTTCAGGCTTCTAGTTCTCTTGTCCCATTCTTCTGGATACCACAGGCCTGAGAGTTTTCAGTGGCTTATCAAATGTAGAGAAGCAACTTGGCATATTAGCTAAAGAGCTCATGCTGAACCTAGGAAGTCCTAAACTTAAGTCCTGCCTTTGACACATATTAACCATGTGACCCATGGCAAATCACTTAACTTCTCAGTGCTTTGGACAATTCTCTAAGACTATAAGTTGCAGAGAAGGCAACAACCTGCATAAGTAGAGGGACTTTGCTCACCTGGGATTCTTCATATGAATTAAATCACAAGTCCGGTCCCTGTATCTATCAAAGGTTACACAGCAACCAGTCATACTCAAAGAAATCATGTTTCCAAAGAAACTGAATGTTGTATAACCATAATGACCAAGACTGATTCTTAAGAATACATGAGGAAATGCATCTCTCTTTATTTTTTGACGAGGCAGAGGGACTGAGTATAAAAACTAAAAACAAGAGAAATGCAAATTAAAATAACTTTGATGTTCTACTTCATATTTATCAATTGACTAATGTTTCCTGTCCATAATCCCTTGATTAATAAGTAGATTAGCTTTCCTGAGCTGATTCCTCCCTCCCCACTTTCTTTTTATTACTTCTTCTCCTTCTTCTCCTCCTCCTCCTCCTACAAAAGATGATTCACTAGATACGGGAGGTTAGAGGGATACATTTGAAAATGAAGGTGATATCAACCAATCAATTAATAAGTATTAAGTGCCTACTGTGTACCAAACACTGTGCTAGATGTTGGAGATTTAAAAACAAAAGAAACCAATACAATTTAAAAAAAATAAAAGAAATTATCTAGTTTCCTGGACTTGTAGTTATCCATCTTATCTTTAGGAAAATGTTATTCAGTCTGACGGAGCACACCACACATTAAGTAATGCTTAACATCACTGCAATTTAGCCCTTCGGAATATACAAGTTTTATAAGTAGCTCTAGAGGAGTGACTGCTCAAACTATACTTTTACAAGTGGAACCCAGTAATTTGCACAAAATGGGTGCTTAATTAAATTTGGTTTCCATTCAGTAATACTATGAACACGTGTGGTTGACTATAGCAGTGATCAGGAGAAGTATATGTGGGTCTGGGAGAATAATTCTACTCAATTTTTGGCATTCTGAATGATGAATTCATTTGAAGCCAACACTCATCGACTTCCCCTCCCTCCTACTCTGCACTCTAAGGAAGTCTAGGCATTAAGTACTTAATGGTAACACTATTTATTTCCAATTAAAATAAAAAAAGGATGTTTTCCCTGGTGATGACTCTTGCTTCCTGCCTCCCTCCCCCCCCCAAAAAGAACCCCAAGAACAAAAACAAAAACAACAACCACCACCAAAACAAACCCATACCAACTATTTATAAGTGAGGTCAGCACGTAAGCTGAGGATAGTTATTTCAGGGAGAGGGCACAAAAGTGTGAAAGAAGGTAAGCCATGTCCTCTTACAACAGCCTGGGAAGAAATTAAGTCTAACTTTTTGGTCCATTGATGTTGTATCCTTCTTGCAAAGGAGGACAATATGCAAAATCTCAAAAAGAGTCTCTTACATATATCATTTAGTTACTTAGTTATAGAATGATAGTAGATATAGGATCATATATTTAGAGCTAGATGTTTTCTGGTCCATCCTTTCCTTTTATAGATGAGGAAAACGAAGGTCAGAGGACTTAAGTGGATTGTCCAAAGTCTTACTGCTGGTAATTATCAGAGCTGAGATTTAAATTGAGGTCCTGACATCACATCCATAATTCTTTCCACTATACTACATCTACTTTTTTTTTAGGGCATATCTACAAATGCTTTTTATTTTGGAGGGGAGGGGTCAGGAGGGGATCAGAACCATGATTTCAACAGGGTATATGACACCCTCTAAAGATGCAGATCAGCAACACTTTGAACCTCTGAGTCTTAGACAATTTGAACAGGGGCAGCAAGAGGTTCAGAGCCAGAAGAGGACCTTTGAAACCATGTGCCCTCTCAGTTTACAGCTGAGGAAACTGAGGCACAGAAAGGCTATGTGATTTACCTATAGTCACAGAACTAATAAGTGTCTGGAGCAGGATCTGAACCAAAATCTTCCCTTCTCTAAACCCAGCATACCATTGGTTAATCAATACTACCTTTCTTTGTTTTCATTAATATTATTAATTCCCCAGACTTGTCTTTGTTAGCACATATTTACTTCTTGGGTGTAAAAAAAAAATTGACAGATTGAAGAATATAGGCAGAACAGACCATCTACTAGACATTTTTTTTTCCTTTTAGGCAATTGCTGTCCCCTCCAAAAAAGGAAAAAAAAATGAGTTTACTAATGAAAAAACTAGCTACTTGAACACAAGATCTAGTAAGTAATGTCATTTATATGACTCATTCCTGTATTATAGAACAATTTTTTGAATGATTGATATTATAAATTATTGATAAGTATTCAAAGCACAAAATGTTTAGATAAAAGAAGACTCAAGATGAATATCTAAGAACCCTAACAGTTTCAGAACATGTATTATTAATGTGTGAACTATGAAAAGACCAGGGGCTCTAACTTTGATTTTGCTATTAAATGAAGTATATGATTTTAGATGGAACTTGCTAGATCTGAAAGGTTCTCAAAATGGAATTAATTGACAGTATTTGCATAGTGCCTTTCCTACAAAGAGTGCAAATATCATTTATCATTATCATGATCCTATGAATGAAAGGGAAGCAGTGATTACCATCAGTATTTCATAGATGCCAAAATGGAGTCAAAGAAAGGCTACGCTAAATTACTTGGCCAGAGCCACACAGTAAGTTTCACTGTTCTAATCAGACCCAAAGTGTCCCATTTCCTAGACTCTGCCAACCTCATCTGACACCACATGTGCCACAAGGCATGGCCAAGGAGAATGTTTTGATGTATTCCTTAGAAATGGATTCTTCTCACTCATGCTTTCAAAGTTGTACAAAAAAATATTTACTTTACTTTTTTGACATATTTCTGTGGGTCGGTAGGAGAAAAAAAAAAGTCCTCTGACCCCAAACCTTTAAGTTCAACAAAATAAGCTAAATAAATTACCTCCTTTCCAAAGATCTGACTTAGCTGATGAGCTTCTAGAATACACACACACATTAATTCACAAATAGTTCTTAAACCTTTATCATACTGCAGTTGAAGAGCAGTTCAGAATTGTTCTCTGCCTTCATAAAATTTACTTGTGTCTAGTAGACACAAATCTACATGACCTACAGATACCTATGATACACCATAATAAAGAAGGGCAAAAGAAAGTGTTATTTGAGGTCTGAGGGTAAAGACTGTTGATGGCGGAAAACAGAGAGGGCTTCCTAAAGATGATATTTGAAATGGGCTAACCTAATGCAAATCTTAGCCCACAGAAGAACATAGATCTTAGAACAGGAGCTCCTTGAGATTAGGGACTGTATTTTTGCCTTTCTTTGTATCCACACTGCTTAGCTCATTAGCTGTTAGACAGGAGACACTTCAGAAATACTTGGTGATTGACTGACTTAAGAGATCTGGAGGACATAAGGGGCCATTTAGTACAACTTCCTTATTTTACAAGATGGGTAGGAATTCAATAGGGAAAGAGGAGAAGGCTGGACATCGTGAGCAAAGGTATGAAGATAGAACAGTTCTGAATGTGTTCAGGGCAACTCTCTAGTCTAATTTGGCCTGATGATAGAATTAAGGGCAAGAAGCTATATGATATAAGGGTAGAAAAGTAGGATGAGTATAGATCAGGGGTGGGAAATCTGTGACCTTCTAAGTCCTCGAGTGTGGCCTTTGACTAGTTCAAGTTTTATAGAACAAATTCTTTTATTAATGGGATTTGTTCTGTGAAGTTTGGATTCAGTCAAAGGCCTGCACTTGAGGACCTAGAGGGCCATATATGGTCCTGAGGCCACAGGTTCCCCACTCTTGGTATAGATTATGGAGGGCCATGAATACTAGGCCAAGGAATCTGAGCTTTACTTAGGCAACAGAGAACCTGGAGACTTTTGAGCAGAAGTCACATGATAGATCTTTGCATATCTAAAGATTATTGTGGCAGAGATGGATAGTTTTGGATGGCAGAGAGTACAAGCTGGAGGAACTATTAGTAGGCTACTGAAATATTTCAGGTAGTAGTAATAAGGGCCTGTAGAGTGGTGGCAATGAGAATAGAGAAGAAAGGACAGAAAAGGATCATGGAATCATAGGTGTAGAGCAAGCAAAAGATGTTAGATTTTTTTTTTTTGGCTTAAAAATTAAAAACAAAGAAAAAAGAAACAAAAAACCCTTCATAGTCTATGTATTATTGCAATATACTAGATATTTCTTTTCTTTATGATAGAATGATGGCTATATAGTGGTGCTCCAAAAGACATTCTTGTTGTTGATATAGAATGAATGACATGACCACAAGAGGGCAACATACTCTAAATTTATCCAAATTTAATAAGTATCTGACCAACCTGTGCTCTTTGCTTCTCTCGTATTTTTACTTCTTTTTCAATTAGTTTTTGTCGTTGGCTAGTTTCTTCTTGTAATCTTTTCTCCAGTAGTTCTCGACGCCGTTTTTCTTCTTCTAGAGCTCGTTTTTTGGCCTCCATTTCACGTTCCTAAATACCACCATGCCATGCAAAGAATCACTGTTTTAGAGTTCAAAATTATTACTCACCAAGACAAACTCAGAAATCTTTCTTATGTGATGCTTCATAATTATAGTGGCAATGTAATATATAACATAAAGAATGCTACTTGGAGTCAGGACACTGTGTTTAAGACTTGGTTAATAGCTGTGTAACATCAAGGAAGTCACTGAGCCTCAGTTTCCTCATTTGTAAAATTGAACATGACTCTATTTCATAGGACTGTTGTAAGGAAAGGTTATAAACTTTAAAGTACCATATAAATGAAAGATGGAAGCCATTACAGGGATTTCTGTCAACCTGATAAATTAGAATAAGGTAACTTGTAAACAGAGCTAGCATTAACTTTTGAGATTACTGTAAGCTGAAATTCAATAACTGAACATAACTAGGATCTAGGTATTGTTTCTCATACAAAGAGTCAGTCTTTAACTCTCTTCAAAGTTATTTCACTATTATGGCCACAAGGAAGACTACCCCCTTCTCAAGGTCAAATTGTCATCCAAATTCTAGTCATAGGAATTACTCTTAGAGTTCCCAACCCCCAGTTGCCTGCTACTAATTTAAGGACATGATTGCTGTTCTACTGTTCCTTGGCTAGAGTGGAAAATATGGATCATATCTATTCAAATTCTAGAATGGAATGGGAGAGAGAAAGGGAAAGGAAGGGGCCTCTATAGACAGATAAGAAGATATTTGGGGAGCTTCTCAAAAAACCCTAGAGAAAAATAAGGGCATGATGATCCTATTATAATATTATTATTTTATTACACATTATTTATATGACATGTAATATATCAATATGCCATTAAATAATATTGATATATGATCACATATTATTACTTTAATAATCTTATTGTTCAGTTGTTTCAGTCGTGTTTGACTCTTTGTGATCCCATTTGTAGTTTTCTTGGCAAAGATACTGGAGTGATTTGTCATTTCCTTCTCCAGCTCATTTTACAGGTGAGGAAACTGAGGCAAACAGAGTTAAATGACTTGCCCAGGGTCACAAAGTTAGTAAGTATCTGAGGCTGGGTTTGAACTCAGGTCTTCCTGACTCTAGACCTAGTATTCTATCTACTATGCCAACTAGACTCTCATATTAATAATCAACATGGGCTAAAGGTAGAAGGGAAAAATATGAAGACAAAGGATTATCTAAAATCTCTTGGAAATAATACAACCGTGTCATTTATCAAGGAAAAAAATAATTTCTATATTACATTCACCCTAGCTTGTGATTTATATATTTAGAATCATAGGATTTCTAAATTGAAAAGGATCTTAAAGATCAAACCTATCATTTCAACAGAGAAGAAACTTAACTTAAAATTATGGGGCAGCTAAGTGGCTCAGTGGATAGAATGGTGGCCTTGGAGTCAGAAGGACTTGAATTTAAATCTGGCCTCAGACACTTACTAGCTGTGTGATTTGCCATTTTCATCTTCAGCTCATTTTACAGATGAGGTAACTGAGACAAAGTTCAGTGACTTGCCCAGGGTTACACTCCAGTATCTTTGCCAAGAAAACCCCAAATGGGGTGATGAAAAGTCAGATACGACTGAAATGACGGAACAACAATAACAACAAAATTTAAGCTTATTTGTTTAACAAGATCATACAGCCAGTTAGACACAGGAAGGCCATCTCATTCTCAGTTCTAAGTTCTTTCTACCACATACACCAAAGTGACTCTCTTAAATGGGTATAGATCACTTACCCTAGATTCAAGCAAGCGTGTCTTTTCAGCATGAGCCTGTTTCAACAGCCTCTCCATTTCTTCTATTCTGGCAATATTTGATGTGCTGGCACTAAATAAATTAAAGAGAATGTTAAGAGATACTATTATAGATTAAGAAATACCACATTTTACATACATGTAAATGATTACATTTTTAGTTTAGTATCAACAAAAAAATTTGATCTTCAAGTATAAGACTCAAGAGAAGCATAAAAAGGTAAACAGGACAGGGGGGAAAAGATGTTATTCAATAAGGTTAAACTTACATCCCTACACAGGAAGATGATACTTGTAACTCTTGAGAACTGTATCTTTATTATGCATTTAGAAGGGGTATACATAGACAGAGGGTATAAGTTGACTTTGATGTGATGATAAAAAAAAATTAGGGGTGAAAAAAAGATTGCACTGGGAGAAGAGGAAAGGGGGAGGAAGAAAGGGTATATTCTATCACAGGAAGAGGCACAAAGACCTATTACAGTAGAGGGAAAGAAGGGAGGGAGGCAAGCATTGTTTGAACCATAAAACACATGCAGTGTTGTCCCCAGGATATTATTTAGCAACCAGTGGTATGAGCGGACTGATCAAATTCTATGCAGCTTATAGGCAGTGCCCATATGCAAGAGTAGGTGGCATTTGGTATTGGTTAAAAACACCGAAGTCAATAAATGGTACAGATTAGGAACATAGCATCTGGAAGCAAACAAATATTATAACATGTATTTGATAAACCCAAAGACTCAACTGTGTTGGTAAGAACCACTCACTATTTGATTAAAAACTATTGGGAAAACTGAGAAGTAATCTGGCAGAAATTACCATCTCACGCCCTATACCATAATAAGCTCCAAATGGATACATGACCTAGATATAAAAGGTCATATCCTAAGCAAATTAGAGCACAGGGAAAGAGATACCTTTTGTAACTACATCTAGGAGAGAACATTTGACCAAATAAACTGTAGTGAGGATCAGAAGAGATAAAATGAACAATTTTGACTACATAAAATTAGAAAGATTTTACAGAAACAAAATCAAAGCAGCTAGAATTAGAAAGAAACAAAATGCTAAGGAACAAATCTTTTTGCCAAGTTTCCTTAAAAAAGGTCTAACATCTAAAACATATAAGAGCATGAGCCATTCTGCAATAGACCAATAGTCAAAGGATATGAATAGACAGTTATCAAAAGAAGAGAAGCAAGTTATCATCAGCCATATAAAAATGCTCCTAATCACTAATAATAAGAAAAAAGCAAATAAATACAACTCTGAACTTCTACCTCACATCCAGTAAATTGACTAAATTGACAAAAAACAAAGATGAAAATTGCCAGAAGGGCTGTATGGTATCAGTGCAGTTGTGAATTGATCCAGTTATTCTGGAAAGCAATTTGGAATTACATCCAAAATGACTAACCTATATATCTTCTCTTTGACTAAATGATATCCCTCTCCTAGGCAGACATCCAAAGAGATCAAGAAAAAAGAAAAGAACTCATATTTATAAAAATATTCAAGGAGTACTTTTTGTCATAAGAAGAAGTGGAAATGAAGAGGAGTGCTTATCAATTTGGAAATGATTGAAGAAATTATGGTATATGAATGTAATGGCATATTATTGTGTTATAAGAAATGTCAAAGGGGACAGATTTAGAGAAACCTGGGAAGCTTGTATGAACTGATGCAGAGTGAAGTGATAAGAACCAGGAGAATAGTTTATAAAATGATGATATCATTGTAAAGAAAAACAACTTTGAAAGACTTAAGAACTCTGATCAATGCCAATAACTAAGCAAAACTCCAGAAGAATGATAATGACACATACTTCCCATCTCTTACAGACAGGTGATGAGCTAGAGGTGAAGAATGAAACATATTTTTGGATATGACCTATGTCTGTACTTGTTTTTCTTGATTATATTTATGTGTTACAAGGGAGGGCTTTTCTATTTCTTGTGGGGTAGAGCTGAAGGGAATAGGAGATAGTGATAGTGATGGTCTCATTCCCCAAATGAAAAGAAAAACAAACTCATTAATGAATCATTTTTTAAAAATGTATAGAACAGAAGAAGGTTCAGAGGGAAACACAGAAGAGATAGCTTTGGAACTTGATCCTTGCAATAGCCATATTAAGTGTATAGTTCTTTACTGTACTGTACTGGTAGGCCTACTTTATAAATAAGGAAACCGAGGCCCAGAGAAGTAAAATGATTTATCCAAGGTCACACAGCTTATAATTGGCAGGACTTAAATCCAAGTTTTGTTTTTTTTTTTACTCCAAACCTTTCTACTATATTGCAAAGTTATATGGGTGTTAAAATGGTAGAGATCAGAAGAGATACTAGAAGTATTAATTTGAAGAGAGAAGACATAAATAGGTAGATGAAAACACAAAACAATACAATGTCATCATTCGTATGTCACTGTACTTTGTTGTCAACAGATATAAATTAAAATACAAATAGGCAATGCCTATTAGTATTATGAACTATTAACACTACTGTAAAATCTAAGAATGATAATGGCATAAAACAAAGAGCAAAGGCAATTATTTTACTTCTCCACAAGTACTTGTTCATCTCCTTTCCTTCCCACCTCAGGCTGTTCCCAACTTGCTTTTATCTCCTCAAGCCTCATACATTAGTCCCTCAATCTGCCCTAAAAAGTGAGGACCTCACTTCTTATTACTAAGAAAATCAAGACTATGCAACATGACTGCCCATATTCTCTTCTCAATGTAAAATCCCTTCACATTATCCTTGACTCTATACTCCTTTAGTCTCTGATAATGAGGTGGCCCTTGGCCCACCAGCACTCTCTACCTGTGCCCTTGATCACATTCCCTCCTAACTTCACCAGCAGATCACCACCTTTAGTTATTTGCCCCACTCTCTGTCATCTTCAATTTCTGTCTAGCACCTGTTTCTTTACTTGCTGCTTACAAATATGCCCAAATCTCGCTAGCTATATCTTCTCAAGCTATGATACTATAACTCTCCTCTCAGTCAAATTCCTGGAAAAATCTGTCTATACTTATAGACTCTACTTCCTCTCTTCTTGTTCACCCCTTGGTAATCTGACTTTTGACTCATCATTCAACTGAAATTACTCTTACCAAAATTATCAGTGACCTTTTAATTGCTAGAGCTGATGGTGCTTGCTTGATCCTCACCTTTATTGACCTTTCTACAGCATGGTTCACCATCATTATCTGTATATTCTTCCTTTCTCTAGATTTTCATGACAGTACTCTCTTTTATTTCTCTCCTGATCCATCTGACTATTCCTCAGTCTCCTCTCTTGACTCATTATCCACATCCCAGCCCCTAATTGAGGGTGTACACAGTGGTTATGTCCTGACCCCGTTCTCTTTTCTCTCAAGACTCTTTTACTTCGTAACTGGGTTTAATTATGATTTATATCTTTCTGCTGAGGTCCAGTCCCACATCAACAACTGCTTATTGGATATATCAAATACGATGTTCCAGAGACTTCTCAAACTCAACATATCCAAAATAGAATTTATTACCTTTCTCTCAAACCTTCTGCCACATTTTGCTGTTTCTGTCTAGAGTACCACCATCTTTCTAATACATCAGATTCACAATCCTCACTCTTTCTCACTCCACTTATCCAATCATTTGCCAAATATTACATTTCCTACCTCTATAATATCTCTGGCATCTGATCCCTTTTCTCTATCTACTCTGCCATCGCCACCCCAGTTCAGTCAGCCAGTTAGTCAAAGGGCAGTTATTAAGCACCTATTAGGCACTATGCTAAACACTGAGAATACAGAGAAAGGCAAAATAAAACCCACCAAAAAGACCCCTCCAAACACCTGCCTTCAAAGAGTTCACAATCTAATGGGGTTGTGGAGAGGATGTCATCTCCCATCAGTTGGACTATTGTAATAGCCTCCTAACTGGTATCCCTGTATTAAGAGTCTTCTTGTCCTCATCTATCTCAGCTACTACAGTTATTTTCCTAAAGCACAAATCTGACTATGTCACTCTCTTATTCAATAAAATCCAGTGGCTCTCTATTGCCTCTTGGATAAAATATAAACTCTTGTTTAGCATTTAAAGGCCTTCACATTCTGTCCCCAACCTACTTTTCCAGCTTTTATTATACATTACTCTTCTTAGTACACTCTACAGCTCTGGCAAATTGGCCTTACTATTACCAAAACATGGCACTCCATTTACCATTTCTGTCTAATTCCCCTTACCAGTAATGTTCTCCCTCCTCGTCTACAACTGTGAGAAACTCTAATATTTTTCAAGGCTCAGCTCAAGCATCACCCACTACTTGAAGCCTTTCCTGATATACCCAGCTATTAGAGACCTCTAACTCCAAATCATCTTGTTTCCATTTGGCACATACTTCTCTATGCACGTGTAGTATCCTCTATTACAATGCAAACCCCATGAGAGTAGGAATTTTAATTGGATTGAATTTCTCTTGGGGGGGGGGTGCATTTGTATCCTCAGCACCTAGCACTTAGTGCTGGGCATGTAGCAGGCACTTAATAAATTTTATTGATCAACGGAGTTGTCTTAAACCTGTCCTTCATATTCCTACATGCAATATGAGGGAACTTAAATACAGTCCTAAGAAAAAGGAGCTTTACAACTTGAACTACTGACTTTCTGTTGCTTGAAGGATCTCTTTGTGCCCAGGCATAGACTAGTTTTTCCTTTGGGACAAGAAAGCAGGTGGGATTCAGAAAACAACCATTTGCACTAGCTACCAGAGAAATCCCTAGACTGCAGAGTTTCATTCTCCTGTAGGCCTAAACTAGCCAGATTCTTCAGGGACACAAAAAATATTAGTAAATCTTTACTGTTATTGATGCAGAAATTCTTTCCTTTAATGGGAACAACCAGTTGTGAGGAGGTAAGAAGAGAAAAGCTCCTCTCTTTGATATAGCAAGACAATTCAATACCACTGAATGATATGCCACCTTGTATTTATGCAAGATGTAAGTGCTTCATTCCTTTATCTGGATCCCCAGTGACTTTTTCTATATATTTTACTCCAGCTTCACCTTTTTCCACCTTTTCATTA